TTAAAAGTTTGTATGCGCCGGGGAAGTGAGAGTGGTCACATGTGTATATAACGTGACTTTTGAGTCCAAATGTCAACATGAAGATAATCGTTCCTATTCCAATATCGATGGTCATTCACGTCCTAAAATGACGAAGTATCCAGAGAGAAAGCAAAAATAGAAACATGGTCATCCATACATCACAGTTAATATAAAAGGTAAATAAGAAAAATATCAAGCATTATAATTATTTCAGTCAGCCAGTTATGTGCCTTGCGTGATACACGCTTACGCGATCATGTATCTTTCGATACATGACTGACGAGGCACATTTTTCCCGCGGTAGACCAGTTGTTATCCAAAGCTATAAAACACGGTCTGTCCTACTATTTAACCATAGCTAAGGGGAAAAGAAGAGGATTGATACCTTTCCTAAGAGTATTAGTGTGTAAGCGAATGTTATGCTCAATCCGAGCCGCTATCTGTTACTCCACTGTGCCTACTGGTATTAATAGAGATCCCATTGAATTAAAAGTTGAATGTTCCGGGTTAGTAAAAATATTTAAGAATTTAAATCCTAATTTTAAAGCTAGATCTGAGTGAGGCGTTGTTTTTTGGCGCTGAGGGAAGGAATGGTGTAAGGCAGAGGTATTAAGGGAATTTCTAGTCTGCAAGGGTTACAGGAGAATGTCAGAGGTCAAGGGTCATAGGATTAAAGGGACCACCCTCCTCGCACCATGTACGTTAATGTAGTGTAAACAGAAGACGTTGAACTGTGTAGATGTTTTTGGTACACTTCGGATACAAGTTTTCTTTAAAAGTGTCTGTGAAAATTTTGTGAAGGAAGATGGCCTCCTCAAATTGTAAGAAATGTCCATATTCACATCCTGAAGTGAAGAAGCATCCAGGGAGTGAGTGAGATAGACAGAGAGAGAGAGAGAGAGGCAGAGAGAGGGAGAGAGACAGAGAGACAAAGAGAGACACAGACAGAGAGAGACAGAGAGACAGAGAGAGAGGGAAAATAGAGACATGGTCATACATATATCACAGTTAATATAAAAGGTAAATAAGAAAAATATCAATCTTTATAATTATTTCAGTCAGCCAGTTATGTGCCATACGTGATACACGCTTAGGCGATCATGTATCTTTCGATACATGACTGACGAGGCACATTTTTTTCCCGCAGTAGGTTACCATTTCTTTATGTGGTAGACCAGTTGCCATCCGAGGCTAGAGAACTCGGTCTGTGCTGTTATTTACCCATAGCTGTAGGAAGAAGAGAATTAATGCCTTTCTTAAGTGAATGTAATGGATTCGACTGGAATTCGAACTCGGCTCTCCGATTCCTCAATCCGAGCCGCTATCTTCACTGTGCCTACTGGTATTAATAGAGACCCCATTGAATTAAAAGTGGAATGTTCCTTGGTAATAAAAATAGTTAAGAATTTAAATCCTACTTTTTACGCTAGATCTGAGTCAGGCGTTGTTCTTTGGTGCTGAGGGAAGGAAGAGGTATTAAGGGAATTTCTGCGTGCAAGGGTTACATAGGATTGTCAGAAGACTGAGATCAAAGGTAAGAAGAATAAGGAGACCACCCTCACATCATGTACATTAATGCAGTGTAAGCACAAGACGTTGAACTGTGTAGACGTATTTGGTACCCTTCGGATACAAGTTTTCTTTAAAAGTGTCTGTGAAAATTTTGTGAAGGAAGATGGCCTCCTCAAATTGTAAGAATCGAAAAATATGAAGATGAAAACATTAATCTTAAGAGAGGAAGATTTTGCGTTCATTGTTAATGGAGGTAAACCTTTGTGATTTATCTGCAATGTGTAAATTTTATTCATGTCTTGCGGCTCTCAAACGTCTGAACTTTATCGTATGTGATTCTAACATAAAACAAGTTTGGCCACCCCTGATATATAGCATTCTGAGCTCATAAGCGGGAAACATGTTCCACGACCTCGAGTAGATGGTCTGAAACGAGGTTATTAGCGAACCATCTGGATATGTTTTTTCTTCCTTACATATACCAATGATGAAGTTTAATTTGAGAATTAGACATTGTAAAAAAGATTAATTAACAATTAACCTATTTTCAGGAAATAAACGTTAATTAGCAGACGAAAATTGTTCTTGTCGATGTTAACAACTCAACTTCAGGAGACGTTTTTCTTTTAATTAATCATTAAGTTATTTTCTGTTTTCATAAATCCTGTTCTCTTTTCTTTTCACACTCAACATCTCTGCGTCTTAGTGGCTTTATTGCCTTTGCTTGAGGTGAAATGATTAAAAGCCTAAAAAGTCTCACTTTTTCGTTGAAAGAAAACTCCTAAAGAAGCGAAGGAAAGAAAAGAAAGAAAGGACTATCTATAAACCAAAGAAAACAGAATGGATAGTTATCAGCAAAAAGGATGCAAATTACAATTCGGGATACTAAACTCAAGCAGGTACAAAAATTTAAATATCTGGGAATTGTTCTAACATAGGATTGAAAGTGCAAGACTGAGAACCGAAGACGCATTGGGATGGCCAAAGATGCATTCCAAAAGCTAAGCAGTGTATTAAGAGACAGGAAAATGTCGTTAGGAACAAAGGAAAAAGTACTGAACTGTTTCGTGATATCTTTCCTTCTGTATGGCAGCGAATGCTGGACAATCTCCTCAAAGATGAAGAAGAGACTTGAAGCAACAGAAATATGGTTCTACAGAAAGATGCTAAGGATACCATAGACCGAACGTGAGCAGCGACAAGGTTTTGGAGAAAATGGAAACAAAAAAGGAAATTTGTACTTAACATCAGAAATAAGCAGTTGGAAGTTCTGTAAAAAGGAAGGTAGGCTTGGCAAATCTGATACTCACAGGACAGATTGAGAGAAAGAGGGAAAAACGAAAGCATCGTGTAACATACTTGATGAGCGTGGATAAATGTATGGCAGAAGAGGGTTAGGGAGATATAACGAAAAGACAAAACCTATTAAGAGCTACAAAGGACAGGAAAATGCGGAGGGCCATAATGAAAGGACAGATAGGTTTTGGAGTGAAACAACTTTCTTAATAGCTGGATTTAAAATAATCGTTCCACTTCATGTGAATCGAGAATGTAAGCCCGTGGAGAGGTCACTCTCATGAGGTTTCGTGTCAACTAATGGGTGGCAGGAAGAGCTTTTTCAGGAGATTGATAGAGAAAAGTTTTGTTTTTGAAATTTTCCGAAATTTTAACGATTTTTTCTGTTTCTCAATACTTGTGGATTCCAATGGAATCGTATTCTCCATAGCCTTATCTCTGATACTTCAAGACTTCTCATCATTTCTTTGTAAATTGTCCAGCACACAGCGCCATGTAGGAATTCTGATATTGCATAACAGTTTAGCATTCTTTTTTATTCCTAGCATCCACTTCGATTATATACCAACGAATTTATTAGCTATATATATATATATATATATATATATATAGATAGATAGATAGATAGATAGATAGATGACTTATTTACACCGATTAGTGTTTTTAGTAATAAATTTATTTTAGTTATTTTACCATTCCCCCGTGTTTACCTTGTTTTTCAGTTTCGCCGAAAAGTGTTGGACGTAAAAGGTCCCTTTAAAAGAATGCGTTCCGTCATTTTCACAGCCAAATTTAAAGTCTATAGTACACAGTTTTTATGTAAATATATGAATGCATGTATAAGATTTAAGAAACAGCTGATATTTTTATATAAAAATTTGAAATATCGTTTAAAACCAGAACCCCTTGAAGATCGAAAATTTTACCAAGAAACTTCGAAGTCGGGTAAAAATTGATATTTAAAATTTAAGTCATTTTTTATGTTTATACGTTCTTGTTATAGATGCAAATATTTAAGTAAATGTTCTGCTTATAATAAACAATATTAACAACATTTACCGGCATGAATGTCCGAGAAATTTTCATAGAAAATATGCGTCCTCTAACAGGAAACGAACCAGTATCCTATACGGAACCGTCATATAGCCTGACGTGCTTTTACCAATTGAGCCACAGAGGAGCATTTCGGTTAGCAAGGTCGATTTTACTGTTTTTAAACTACAATTCTCCATGATTTTCTCTGGTATGTTCATATCTGCTCGTTGCGTATCCGAATGTAAACAAATGACGTCACACATTATGAAATGGACAAAGTCCGACAATTAATTTAAGACATTTTTTTTATGTTTATACGTTCTTTTTAAAATAATTGTATTATAAACGGAGCAATAACTTAAATATTTGTATCTATATAAAGAACGTGTAAACATAAAAAATGTCTTAAAATAATTGACGGACTTTGACAAAAATAATTAATTAATTTTTTATTTAGTTTTTCCAGTATTCCTACATTTTCCCATTTGGTGAGTGCATGTCAGTGTTCAGTTATGTGCAATGCGTGACACACGCTTAGGCGATCATGTATCTTTCGATACATGACTGACGAGGCAGATTTTTTCCCGCAGTAGGTTGCCATTTCTTTCTGCGGTAGTCCAGTTGCCATCCAAGGCTATAGAATCCGATCTTTCCTGCTATTTACCCGTAGCTGTGGAGAGAAGAGGAGGATTCATACCTTTCCTAAGGGTATTAGCGCGTAAGTGAATGTAATGGATTCGACTGGAAAACGAACTCGCCTCTCCGATTCCTCAATCCGAGCCGTTATCCATTACTCCACCGTGCCTCTTCGAATGACAGGGTAGCGCCCTTTGCTGTGAGTGGGAGTCAAAGTACCGGCCTTTGTTACGATTTGATTTCCATAATATTTATACTCGGCGAAATATATTATAAACACTTCATCAACCATGAATAATAAAGCGTTTGTGGGTCAGGATGTTTATGCAACCGGTGTTTGTGTGAGTGTGTCTGTCTGCGTGTACGTGTGTAGGATCTGGCAAAGACATTGCTGAATTCTTTCGCATGCAGGAACTTATTTAAATACGAGGACAGAGTAACGCTGGAAGAGGAAGGCTGGTATAATGGCTATCGACGCGGAAAACAGAATAACTGTCAAA